CTAACCCTAACTTCCTCGGCGTCCGTTCTCGCACTTCCCACATCATCGAGAGCGACTCTCTGCAGGTCCCTGATCCTCGGCTCTCCGATCAATCCGCCGATGAGTTCGAGCCCATTGATTCCGGAAGTGATCTCGAAGAAGATGGTTAGCTCTCACCTTTTCTCTCTCTGTGTAGTGTATATGTGTCTTGTTAGATGTATATTGTTGCTTTCAGAACTGCGGATTTAGATTGATATTTGGTTTGTATCTTCTTGTTGATTTGGGGAAAAATTCCTATTAAATGAAATAACAAACATCACATCAGTTGATCTTCATCATATGAAATTGTTATTTTTTACTAACTCCGGTATCCGGAAGCCATGTTAGGTCCCGATTAATTTGGAGTAATAAGCTCTCCCAATGCCTGTTTCTGATTCATAAGACTCAAAATTGAGACTTTGCTTAAGAGAACCGAGCTTTTTCTACTCGAACCAACAAGTTATCCAACAAGTCATCGGTTCATCATTTGAAATTGTTGTTATTATTTATTGCTTTTGCTGCCTGAATAGTTATTGTTTTTGTGTAAATAACAGATTATTCATATGAATTTGTCTTCTTGATGTCTCATTTACTGTGTAGTTTATTACTGTAGTTGATAATTGTGAGATCATTTTTGAGTTTTTGATGGAGATTGTCACTTGGAATTCTTAATGTTTTACTTTTTCTGAAAGTTCATCCTTTTAACAAAGAGGAAACTGAAATTGCGTAGCCCATTTGTTTCTTGTATTGATGAACAGTTGATAATATGCTGTTACTTTGCTATTTGCATCCACAGACTTGAAAACGGCACTTGGAAAGAAGCGAAGAGATGGAAAAACTACGAGATTTAAACCATTGACTACCATGCAACGAGTTCATGTTGGCCGACTGATAGAGAAGTATGGAGACGATTACCAGGTTAGACATGATTTTTGTATGCCAGGAATTCTGATAAATGTTCTGGGTGATAGGATATTACCAGTATCATCCCTTACTAACATACTTTTTTCACAGGCAATGTTCATGGATACAAAACTAAACCAGATGCAGCATTCAGTTGCGACACTGGAGGACTTGTGTAAGAGATACCACATGTTTGGCGATAAAAATCCATTGATAGTGTCTGGTTGAGATTGGTCCATTTCCTTCTTGTAAGGTCTTTTGAGTGTGTAACAGTATGGCGTGATACCCATGAAAGTCATATAACTTATATGGACGAGCTACTGGTTTTATTAATGCAGCTGAAATTCATGAAATTCCCCTTGGTTTGTTACACTTTTCTTTTCAAACTTTCACGCTTACACCCCTCTTCATGTTAGTTGAAGACTTGAAGGAAATTAAGTGATTTAAGTGTTGAGAATGTATCCTATGAGAAAAATACATTCCTCATTATAAACGCAAAGATTAATTTCAAACCCCAATTGAGTTTCCTTATCGTGCATTCTATGAAGCAGGTCCCAACTTCCAACTATGAGTATTGAGTTGAAATTACATGGATAATGCAGAAAATCATGAGAAGATGAAGGCCAACATGGTTAGGTTACTCTTTCTTCTTCCTGGCGTGTCCTGACCAGGTCTTGTTCTCTAACTGTGTTTGTAACGAGGCTTTTAAAGTTATAGTTGAGATAAATTAGAAAAAGAATTAGATTGCAGTGAATGCCAAACATCTTACATCCCACTGAAATTAAAGGAATCTGAAAAAACACATCAACAAAAGTATTCATGGAGAATATTTACAAAATTTATTATGGAATGAACATGAGTTAGTTTTAGAGATTCAAAGCAGAGCATTATTAAGCAACTGAAAATCAAAACACCTAAAGTCTAGGATCTCAGGATCTCTTAACCTGACTGAGTACGAGAATAGAAATTAGAAAGAACTGCCAAACTAGACACCAGTGAATGCCCGACACAAGAATTCCCAGTGCTCCTTCTGCTGCTTAATCCTCTCTACTCTTTCTGTCTCACGCCTCTGCTCCCAGTACTCTTGACATCTGTTAAAAAGAAAAATGCATTATGTATGCAAGAAATTTTTTGTGGGATTAGAAGCAGACCGTTAATCATTTGCCCCTCTCATATTTAAACACTGAAAAGGATACTGAAGTTCAGAAAGAAAGCATCAAACTTTTGATTTCCCAAACAGCAATCAAAGACACCATAGATGGAAACATACCTTCTGCTTAATAAAATGTTAAGCTCTTCCAAATGCACAGCACCTTCATGCACTCCTGTCTGAAGTCAAAACCAAATCAAGTTACAAAATGAAGATAAACTACTCCCAAAAGATATGTCGTTTTACATTATTGCATTGATTCTCAGTCAATAACTGAATATTGTAAATATTCCAATAATCAACATGCCACCCTTCAACTTTGATGGACTTGGAAAGCCAACAAAGCGCACAGAGTAGTTTATGTTTACATGGATACAGTTTAGCTGGGATTGAGACAAAGTAAACTTATTGAGTATTTGACCTCAGCAGATCAGATGCATCCAAAATTATCAATCTCACTGTCTCTATTAGAAATAATGAAGACATGAAGTATTTTACCTAGAAAATAAAATAAATAAGACAAACTACAGGAAAATCAAGGAATTGTTAATAATGATAGAAATATAGATATAAACACTCACCTCTCGGCATAGAGGACACTTTTCTTTATGCTCAACTGCTTTTAGTCCATCTACAATATCCACTGATGCAGCTGAGCAAGCACACATGTAGCAGAATATGTGGCCACATGTCAGTGAAACTGGATCAAATACTGTATCCTGTTACACAGAAGAATAAATCAAATCATGCATTAAATTAGAGCAGTCTTATGAAGCAGCACAATCAGAAAGATCATGCTTTATGAATTTAAGATATAGGAGATTTGAGATTTAAAATTTGACAAGTTTCAAGTGCAGATTTTGGGGTGAAGACAGAAAACTTCATTTCTAAACATGTGCTTAATGGTTCCAGAGCAATTTTTTTTCAAGCATGCATAGATGATAAATGAGAGAAGTTTAACAATTGTTTTTATGTCATGACCAAAAAAAAAAAAGTATTTGTTCTTATGTTAGAGGTGATTTATAATTCCAGGCCCCAGCATGAACTTAGTTCTGCTGAAAAAAGGACATAAGCATCCTGACAGAAGACATGATGAAAGTAAATTGCAACATTCATCCCAAAGCAGAGCAGAGTATATGCCACAAAGCAGTAGTATAATTAAATCATTTCTTTATTTCTTTAATCTGTTTCAGAAAAAAATGACAGATATTTTATTTATTTGATAGCAAATTGTTTATGATTACTAGGTGCAAGAGAGGTGAATATTCAAATATTAAATAATCTCTAGGAACTTACCAAGCATATAGAACAAGTGAGGTCAATGTCAGCCTTGACAGAATCAAAGAGCTCACAACAGAGTGAAGGCTTGCCATCGTTGAATTGAAGGTAACAACCCTCAAACAAAGAGGGAGCAGTCCTTGGTTTGGTTTTGGCTTCACTTTCCCTCAAATTGATATGGAAAGCCATAAGTTCACAGAGCCATGGTGACTGAAGAATTTCAATGTGCATACTCTGAACTTGCGACTTGAAGGCCTGCCCTTGCTTGGAGTAATGAACCTGTGTTTCATACAAAAGTAATGATATTAGAACAAAAAGAACCATAATTGCACCAAACTGCATTTCCAAGAACCTTCATTCTATGGCATAAAGGACAAATACCTTGTCATATTTCTTCAGTATTTTACGAAGTGCAATAGCATTGATCAATGCATAGGTGACCAAGTCCTTCCCTTCTTGAACCAAAGCAACATGGTTTCTTTTCAGCTTGGATTTAAACCAAAAAAAGTACTTCTTAAGGCCAGGTGCAAGATGTAGATCAAGCAATTTCTGCGCACGCTCATTGAAACAGCCTACCACAGCTGACATTTCCTCAAGCAGGGAAGGGAAGAAGGTACCATCGCACACTAGAAAATCAATTTGAATCAGGATGAGAACATGTTTACAGAAAGAAAATAAAACTAGATTAATAATTAAAATATGTCAGCCGTCCTTCAAAAAATGGATGCCAGAAAATTTCATTCAGGTTCTGAAAATCAACGTCATATGTCGACATACACGCAATGGAGAGACTAGAATATGATAGAGAGAGTAAAACAATGGCCATTAAGGTCTACCTAATAAAATATTAGATTTTTCATTTCACATAGAAAAAACTGGTCTTCTTCCATAGATATTGAACCCCTGAAACGGGAAATCTGGAATTCAGCTTCCACTGGTCAAAAAAGGCTTCATCATCCAAATCAAGCGACCAATTAAGAACCCCAAAAAAGCCAAAAAAGAGAAAACAGGAAACATGGGTTTTCTGAATGACTAAATTACAAAGAAAAGTTTATCATTCATGATTCATCCACCATTCCTTTCAACATGATGAACAGAAAATGAAGAAGATGGCAAAACCCCAATAAAATTATAAGATATTTATCAATCATCAAGTTTCAAATATTTCTTTCATCACAGCATGACCCACATATTAACATTCCTCTCAAATGTCAATACCTGGGCATTGCTGGGGGCAATTTTGGATGTTGAGAAACCCATTAGCATCAGGCCTGCCTCGTTGACAATCTCCTCTGCATTTCTTCAAAATCTTCTTAAGCTTCTTGATACCAAGCGTAGGTAGCTTCTTCTCTTGACCCTTCACGTACTCCTGGTATTTCTTGCAGAACTTCATCTCTAAGATAATAGTACTCACCCAAATGGCTTATCAAAAAAAAAAATAGTACTCACCCAATTCCTTCTTTGGAACAATTTCTGTTCATAAGAACAACACAGAGGCTCCACACAGAATTAGATGCTGATAAATACTGAAAAATAAAAACCATAACAGTACATGAATGGCTTAGTAATTATCTGGAAGTTTTTCGGCGGCTTCCAGCGAAATTTCTAGAGAGTTTGTTAATTCCGCATTTAAGCCTTCAGATTTGGAGCTGACAAGGCAGGCGTACCGCAGAAGGTGACGCGGCAATAGAGAAAAATGAAATAGGCTTTTATTATTATTATTATTATTATTATTATTAATTTTTTTTTTTTTTTTTTTAATATTTTTGTAAGGGATGAGTTTCGAACCCTGATCGGAGAATGTATCGGTATTATGGTAATTAATAAATATAAAATTTTTAATTTTTTAAAAAAATCAGATATGTAATGACTAATGCTATTAAATCTCAAAGTCAAGTGTTATTATTATTATTATTATTAGTATATTACATATTATAAATTTATAATTTTATATAATATTTTATAAAATATAATATATTATTAAATAAATATATAATATTATAATTAAAATTTTATATTAAAAAATTAATTATATAATAATATATTATATTATAAATGTATGTTATCACTTATATTATAATTATAATATTTTTTATTTTTTAAAAAAAATTCTTAGTGTTTTCTATTCTTTCACTCAATTATTGATTAAAAAATTAAAATTTTATATTAAAAATATTAAATTTATTTATTTTGTTTAATTTATCATCAAATGTGTAAAAAAAAAAACTGATCGTACAATTACCAAATTTGCTACTAATTAATGATTTTCTTTTTCAAGCTCATATACCAGAACAAAGGGTGCATTTGATATTGACTTTTCACTATCAAAATTGTTAATTTGCTATAATTAAATTAATTTTAATTAAGAATTGCAAAAAAAATCTGTCTACATTAGTATTATTTTTATTTTCTCTTTTAATTAATTTTGTACTGTATATTTAAAAATATTAAATCAATAACATTTTTAAAAAATAATTATTTTACTCTCATGTATTTTTTAATTATCCTAATCTGATACAAGTAAATAGTAACAATTTTTTTCATAAAATATGTTAATTATTCTTTAAATAAATAGTTTAGTAATTTTACTAAGATAATTAAAAAATCATAAGGAGTAAATACTAACATATTATATTATTAGGTTTTTAGTACTTGTGCCTTTAATATTGTATTGGATTTTTATAACACATGTTTTAATAATGTATTTATTATATATTTTTATTATTAATTTATATAAAAAAATAATTTAATTAAATAATTAATAAAATTAGAATTAATTTTTATTTTCATAAATTAATAATAAATATATTTTTAATTTATACTTATAAAACGATAATTAAAAATTCTTTATATCATTTTAGGAAACAAGAAAATATAAAAATTATCTCTAGGGCGTGTTTGGTACTGAAAGTAAGAGAAAATGGAAAGTTGACTCTTCCAAATACCTGAAACGGCAGGAAACACCCGAAATCTCTCCTTTTTTTTTTTTCTTTTTCTGTGTGGGTATACAAACTTCTGAAACTTAAGCAATCACGAGATACAGTAGTACTTTGTTTGTTCGGTCCAGTCACGAGATATTGGAGAGAGAGAGAGAGAGATTGGTTTGGGTCTGCCACCTGAAAAAGTTTTTATGGATCAAAGATGTAACGGGGTAAGGGTGGTCGACTCTCTACCCAATTCACATGCACAGAGCAACCAAGGCTGCCAACGCAATTAGATTGGCAAAAACTAATGTGTTGCGGCAGAACCCCAAATCCATTCTTTAAATTGAGTAGCATAGATTCCTTTTAAAAAAATATATAACAATAAATTATTTTTTTAAAATTATAAATTGAGGTAATTATCTATTTTTTAATATGTGATATTAATTTTTTATTAAAAAA